GTAGGGAAGGTGGTTAACAATGTTTTGTAACGCGTTTAATATGTTTCAAGTATTTCACGATTATGTAGTAAAACACTGGTACATAAATAAACACTGGCCTAATTTTATCGTGGGTTAATCTAGCCATCTTTAGAGAAGGAGGTAAATTGATAATGCCAAAAACTAGTTTCTTAGAACTTATCATGGAAACAACGTTGAAGTAAGACTTGGAGAAGACAACAAAAAATGACTGCACTAACTCTTCTATACTTTTTTTATGGATTCGAAGCCAAACGAGCAGACAGATCACCTGATGGTAAGTGGTAAGTGATCATACGTAAACATTGAACACTCATACACGAGAGTTCTTTCTTTTATGGTGGTGGTCTCGATGGGATTAACTAAACGAGGCAGTCAGACGCTCCACTGCCACGCTATTCAGGTCGAAATGTCTACCATAAAAACTGAACATGAAAACTTTTCGGTCAATTTAACTTCTCAACGGTACTTACTGTGTTGATACGCGATGTATCATAATTATATGGATTTTCCGCTACAAACTAGCTCTGCATATATTCTTCTCTTGTTAGAATAAGAACACGTAATACATGCATAGTTAATCCTTTCATTAAACTGAATTAAGTACTTATTTCTACTATTTTCAAGAGACTGATAGAAATCAATTTGTTCTGGTAACGTAAAACACGATCAAAGTGTAGCATAAGTCGTTACAACATTGAAAAAGCAAATCACGAAATATTCGTCGACAAATATACACACACATACCGGCAAAACTAAGTGATACTTTTTGGAGTCGGTCAAACACTCAATCCTATGTATAAACTTTTTGACAGTTATAATAATGCAATTTATAGTAAGTACCGATATTATCTTACACCTAAAACTTGAAATGTCCCAAACTAGCTCCAGTAGGTCTTTGCTAAGCATACCTGTTATGGTAAAACGTTAAGATACCTTATATTTTCTAAGATCTAAAGGAAAACTAAGTCTAGCAATAAATGTTAAGGTTATTGAGAGTTCCATAAAATAGTCATCATCATTATGGAGATTGACTGCGTTTGTTCCGCATTGTCAACAAGGTGAACTACCAACTTTACATACCTACATTAAGAACACTTTACAAACCTTATATGATTAGGCTTATTTTCCAACAAAAGGACTAATTAATGAGTAACGCAACTTGGTTTCTTCTTCCACACAATCATTCTTCAAAGACAGTAGTGCAAAAATCGCCAATTGAAATCAGTTTAAAAAATTAAGTGCTGATCTCAGTTAACAGCATTTATGTATACAAGTATTTGTACGACGTCAAAGTCTAGCTATTTTCAGTACTAGGGGCTCATTCCTTTCTCAATTAATGCTGTCGGCCTTAAAATGATCTTTCTTTGATATATTGAATGCTTTGGAATGATCTTTCAGTAGCGGTATTTCCGAAATGACACGACAGTAGTCCTTAAGGGCTGGCAACGCACCTGTGACTCCTTTGGTATTGCAGGAGTCCATGGGCGGCGCTGATCACTTACCATCAGTTTTAAATAATAAAACTTGACGTGGATTCTCAGAACACAGTAAAGAACCAGTAAAAATATATTCATACTCATAGTGTAGCAGTGCATTCGTAGCACTTAAATCTTATAAAGAAATCAATGCGCACGAGTGAACGTAAGTAGTATTGCAGTTATATTACCATGTTAGATCCTATCACGTTAGTAATTACATCATCGGTACTTTCATATGAGATGGATACTTCGATAGCTTCTCTTGCTCTAGTGATAGGCATGACTCACCGCCTTCTGCCAGAGCTAGGTCAGTACCGCACAGGCACCGTGCATACGCGTAACTCTCATCAGGCTAATTCAACTTTGACAGTAGAGTTTTTTCCTCATAAAAAAAAGCTAGGTAGTTTTCTTGCGCCGTCGGTGCGTACACAAACATGCAAGTTCACTTATACGTCACACTAAGACCCGCAACAACAATTTGTGGATCATATGAAGAGTTATTCCGTGTGAGAATGAAAACCGCGACACTTGGCTTCAGAGCCCAGACGCTGATTCAATCGTGCAGTCAGATTTTTATTAGTACCTTATTTCGTTTCCATTACAACAACAGATGACAAACTAATTGTTATCAGTATACGAAATTTAAGCCTGAATAATCTGTCGGTTATGCAAGGAGCCTAAATTTTCGTCTAATTTGTTTTTGCTGTATTCTAATGTGATAGAAATACCTAGCAAAAACAGGATGATGTAGTTGAGAGGAGTATATTCAAAACAACCCGAGAATTTTAATCAATAAGAAAAAAGTAATAAACATATTTATTAGTCAACTTGTTATAATAATAATCAATAAGGACCAAATTTTAATGTAGGTACATTCGAATTTGTTCCTTATTGAAGTTACTTGCATTATAAACCATTGTAATTATGAGTACAATGCTTTCAATAAAAACTGGACCAAAGCTTTAGAGCGAATGTACACTTCTGCGTTGCGACCTTAGGATAAAAACAAAAGTAAAGTGTAATAACCCGGCCATCTTACACTCATTAGACATAATTTGCGAAAGTCCGATGTAAAAAACGGAATCCCATTGAGATCTGATTTTATTTAAATTCATTTTCCATTGTAGGCACAAACAATAACCCACGATTTCCAATGGAATGAGAGAAAACTGTGGTTTCGAACGCATTTAAGGTAACCGCGTGATAATAGTCATTGGTACAATTGCTTATACGAGGACTTATTAATATTTTTCATAGTTCCAAAGTATTAAAATACTTTTACACATTCTGGAATTTTCTAAAAACAATTAGTTCTTGTTCTTTTGTTTCAAAACATTAATGTTTGCCATGATAAATTTATTATTAAATTGATGAAATTAGTTGTGTAAATCACATAAATGAAAACCGCAAAAAGTTTCTATCCAAAACTAAATTAAATCTTCGAACTCCGGTGTTGGTAGTCAAATCTATTACGCAATATGAAAATAACATTTCGGATTCAATAGCAACAAAATTGCCATACTGGAGCGAATCGAACATGTGATGTAACATAAAACAAACATACCCTTGTTATGAAGCCAGGAATCCTTCAAAACGCCCCTTGATATTTGGAGCGTTTGAGCCTTACCCACTTTTGTGATGTAAAAGGTACTAGGTCCTCCAAGAAGACCTGTTCCTGAGACCACTTTGTACAACACCTAAAAAGGATTATCTCAAGGGACACACGCGGCGACTCTCTTTAACCAGAAACTGTGAGGAAAAAGATCCCTTGAATTCAGAATTTGTTTTGACAAGTTTAACGTCACAGGAGCGTCTTATTACGAAAGGAAAAAAAAATAGATGATGCTGATACCTGCTGATCTGCTAATCTGTTGCGAAATACAACACAAATATCAATATGTCACAAGCATATTGATAATAAGCGCTCTCACTCATAGAAAAAACATTTGAATGTCAATGGTTATTAAAAAAATAGTTTTATTTTTAAGTACAATAAAAGCTTCCAATTCTCTATGTCGTGCTGTCATCTTTTATATCTTGGTGATCCAACACAAATCGCCAATCAACCTTGAGCAAGCGTCGTGGCTAATACTTATTTATACCTTACCCAGGTGAGAAGTGGTCTTTGCAGCAGTAGGAACTCATAAGCAATGATGTTGAAAATGCTGAAATATAATGAATTTTAATTACCATCTTCGGTACTTTACATCTTAGGTGTAAATTACTAATACATATGTATGTCCTATTTATTATTCTGATTGTAGCGCATTATGGCTGGACGACTAGTCACCATTTATTTACCACGCTCCACTTGTTCGCTGTGTCAGTGAAGCAGCAATATAACAGTTCCGTTAAGATTTATTATAGAATTTTGCGTCTAAAGCTTTGAGATTTCTATTTCTATTTAGTCTAGTTGTTTTGAATGCAATCATCATAATTTCACGCTTATTATCCGAAGAATATTTAAATCGTTCTTTTGCCAAAATACCTAGGGCTAAGCAAAATAAAATGTTCCGGTTGTTTCTTGGGCTTTTATTTAAATCTTGATACGAAACAGTACTAACTAAACGTTAATTTAAATTAGGGCTGATTTTTCAATAGTCGGTTAAATGTTATTCTGAGGAATAAAATTGTTGCTGTCACTGTCTTATACCAACATTCTGACGCGACAGCATCATAACATAATTATTCCCCAGATAACTTTTATCTGAACATTGAAAAATCAGCCCTAAATGTGTTAAATAACATGTAGTCTTTTGCGGCCTTATTAAAAAAAGGTTTTCCTTCAGTCCAGGTCTAAACCATAGAGCCAGTTTTTGTATTTCGAATTGAAGGTAGGTAAAATAAGTTTTAAACTTTCGCGTTTCATATTTAGAACATAATGTATAATTACGTGGGTATTAACGCGAAATTTATTTATGTAGTTGTAGGTATTTCAATAATTTTTTCTCGCGTAAATACCCGCGTAATTATATGTTCTAAAGGTAAAATAAGATTCTAAATACAAAATCGGACTCGGTTTAAACCTAGACTAAAGATATCTTGTTTTGTAATAAGGGGGACGAAGTTTCTCGTGTTATATAGGTACCTTCTTATAGACATATATTAGCAGTTATTTTTATCAAGAACCAAAAATAGTTACGAGTTATTCCAACCAATTCTACAAAGCTTTAGACATTAAGTGTGGGAGAGCCATGCTTCGGCACGAATGGGTCGGCTCGACCGGAGTGATACCACGGCCTCACAGAAGACCGGCGTGAAACAACCACAGCGTTGTGTTTCGTTGAGTGAGGTTACCGGAGGCCCAATCCGTCCCCTAAATCTCCAAATTCCTAATCCCTAAAAGGTCGGCAACGCACTCGTAACTCCTCCGTTGCAGGTGTCCATAGGCGGCGCTGATTGCTTACCATCAGGTAATCCGTCTGCTCGTTTGCCGACCTATTACATATTATCATCAACATTGAAGTCTTGTAACTAAATTGAATCTCTCTTCTTCCACAGGATGACAGACTACGAGCGCATCAAGCAGACGTGCCTGGAGAAGGGGGAGCTCTGGGAAGACCCTGACTTCCCCGCCAATCAGTCCTCCGTGTTTTACTACCAGACTCCCCCTTTTCATTTCGAGTGGAGGAGATCTAAGGTTTGTTTTTTTTTATTTTAATAAATTATTGAGAACTCTCAATAGTATAGTTTGAAAAATTAATGTGTATAAGTTATATGTGTGTTGTGTGTCTAATAATTAGGATGCAATCGTTTCACGAAAGTTAATGAAATTAAACTTTTGTGAAAAGACCATAGTTTTTTATAAAGGTCTTTACAATCCCACTTGGAGGTGCATTTGCAACTAAATATTCGTGTCTTGAGTAAGTGACAACTTTCCGGTCTGCCACTTAAACGGCGTGGGTGTAAAATGACTTATAATATTGCGAACAACGAACAACTTCTTGGGTATCGATTGACCACATTTCTTACATCACAAGGCCGCAATGCATAAAGCCGTCGTAAAAAATACATGTATCTATTGCCTCAACATTACACGAAAAAGAACACAATACGATGACGTCATAAGAAAAAAATTATTCGAGTTTCGTATCGAAAACACGCGATTGTAAATGTCCCGTTAGAAATTATAACACTGTCGAATAAAATGACGTGTAGAAACTAAGAGTGGTTCGTGATACACGAACTTTTCATTTAGCGGGTTTATCACCGCAGAGCTAGCTGTTATGTTCGAAGACGAATCGTCATCCGTACAATTACAAATATCATAATAGAATGGGTCGGCTCGACCGGAGTGATACCACGGCCTCACAGAAAACCGGCGTGAAATAACCACTGCGTTGTGTTTCGCCGTGTGAGTGAGGTTACCGGAGGCCCAATCCTTCCCCTTCCCCATTCCCTCCTCAATCCCTAAATCTCCAAATCCCTAATCTCTTAAAGGTCGGCAACGCACTCGTAACACCTGCGTTGTGAATGTCCATGGGCGGCGCTGATTGCTTACCATCAGGTAATCCGTCTGCTCGTTTGCCGACCTATTACATATAAAAAAAAAAAAATCTCTGACAATAAATAAAAAGTAATTTATGCTAATGACACTGCTTGACAAATAACAAGATTTTCACATGTGAAAGTTTTCGTTATCTCTATTTATAAATTTAATATAAAATATTCAATTTGCTTTATCAAGAGTCGTAGAAAGAATCGTTTTTAAAATATTTTTTGTTTACAAACTACGACTTTTAAAAACAGGATTGTAAATAAACACTTATCCAGCTTGTATTATTGTGTACTTCGTGTAAATACTAAATAAGTAGACATTATAACAAAGGAATTCATAATATCGATTTTGATCCCTATGAGTTCGATTACACGTCCTATTATTAAAGTAACTACATAAACAGTTATAATTTATTTAAAATCCGGATTCTAAAACCTGGACATAAAACATTGGTTTATATTCTGCAGGACAGGACAGGGCCAAATTTTATGTAATAATTATAGTATTACCTATATTTCGAAAAGAATTATCATCATCATCAGTCTATAAGTATCCACTCCATAGCCAAGAGTTTTTTCTCACATAGAGAAGGTTTGAGAGTTAATCACCCCGCCTGTTTAAGACGGATTTGCGATTTTCAACTAATAATTTGAATAATATGAATTCAGGAATAATACCGCCTTTCATAATTTAGTACAAGTCACATTATACATATTGGCTTGCCAGGTTTGAACACCCTGATACATGGCAGCCTAAACCTAAAGCACACACTTCAAAGACAAATGAAATATTAACGAGGAAAAAATGATATATTACAAAATGGTATCTTATTTTAAATAAAACCTTGGAATGTCAACGTTTTCAAAATGTCACAACAGTCATTGTTCTTTAGTGTTGCCAAAACAGTAGGCCACTTAATCTGTAGCTGACTGCTTCGCGCTAGTGAACACAAATGTACCTATTAACCCTTAATTCGACAGAATTTTTTTTTTATTAAATTAATGAAATTGTTACAAATTTTGTTTCTTAGCTTGTACGGGATCGTAGAAAAAATATCTGAAAAAATTTACCGACTTCAGTTTCCTGAAAAATCGACGTCCACTATAATGGACATCATCAAGTTCATAAGAAACAGATATACTCTAACTGTGTGCAGTATACTTCCCATTATCAAAGAGATAGAATAAAAAAAAATAGTGATTCCGTAGGAAAATATTCGTTATATTTAAAAAAATTAGTCTTATTGTTACATGTCTTAGGATTAAAACATTAATAGGAACTCTGAAACCTTATAGAAACGAAAAAAATCACATATGTTTTGAACATAATATAAAATGTCTTTAAAATTCTTCTTATAATAATTAACAATTATCTTATTCAAAAATAATCAGTCTTCTAGTTCTTAAAGTATAAAAAATATCAGTCGAGATAAATGTTTGGGCACTCGTCTACCCACCTACTTTTTGTGGAAATTATAAAAGCAATTTCTTTTGGTCACTAGGCACAATCTCTGCTTGCATTTAGAACAATGCATGTTCGTTTTGTTGTTCTTACAAAACTTACAACACCCATATGTCGTATATTCAGGCCAGTGGTTGATGCTATCATAACGCACAGACTCTGGGGGCCTCGGTGCACTTGGGTTTTGAATTAGTGTTTTCTTCGGTACAGGGCTTGGTGCGTCTGTTTCATTTGATCTTCCCATTTGCCTCAATTCGACTGCCAACTTCTGTCTAAACTTTTTTAGACTTATGTTTTTCAGGCTTTTCATATTACAATTTCGCCTGTAGAGTAGCCAGGCATTGTTAACCGCTATATCTAACATTTGGCCAAAGATGTTCATGTACCAACGACGGCTTTTAAAAGATGTTCTGCACAAAGCTATCAACATATCGCACAGGTCAACACCTCCCATATGTTGATTGTAGTGTCGTACTAACTGCGGACATGTGACACCAATTTTCTGTTTCTGTTCTTTACTCCATCTTTTGATTTCATGAACTGGGTAAGCATCTGCATAAGAACAGGCCAAAGTCACAACTTTATTGTCGTACCATTTTACAATGGCGATCTTTTTGTCGTTGTCTATGACTTGGCTAAATGAACCTCTGCCTCTTTTTTTCAGTTCTTTGTCACTTAGGAGACCCTTGCAACCTTTCAGTCTGTTTTGCCGTATAGTTTCGAGACTGAAAATCCCCCTGTGTTCACGTAGATACCAAATCAGGTCGAGCGTTGTGAAATAATTATCGAAATAAACAGCACATCCTGGAGTTTGAATTGTTTTACTAAGGGCTAACACCATTTTAGCACCCAATGTCATTTGCTCTTCCTCATCGGTAAAAGCGATATAGCGAAAAGTGTCATCGCCGCTGTACAATAAAAAGTCATAGACGATACCAGACGCATCAGCGCGTACTACGTTCTTGAAACCCCATTTATCAGGTTTCATGGGGTTATACTGTCTCCGATTTCCTGCTTTAGTACCTTTATATGGTATAGTCATCTCATCTATGCTGTAATTCATTTCTTCTTCCGTTGCAAGGCAGTTTCTTCTTATTTTTTCAATGAAGGGTCGTATCTTGTAATATCTGTCCTCATCTGAGTTGACGTTGTCCACAAAGTGCAAGTTGCGTCGAATCTGCTCGAATCGTTTCAATGGCATAACGTCAGCCACTTTGCTGTATCTGAATTCGGATTCGAATTGATGGACTAGCAATGGACGAAGCAGCTGATGATGGAATTGAAAGTAATGAGGCCAAACTTGGTAAAGCATTAAAATTTACTTCACCAGTCGGTGGTAGCACGTTGTTAATAATAGGAGTCAACGGAGGTTGCGCTTGGTTCAAGTTGTCTTCAAATTCTGACACAGGATTGTTCTCACTGCCATTAACGCTAATATGGTCCTCTGACGTATGGGAGCTGTCTAAGATATGCATGCGTTCTATGTCTGAATCAATGGAAGGGCAGGGTGAGGAGGATAACTCTTCAGTTCTATAAACAGCGATTTCCTCTTCGTTTTCAGGTTCAGACCTACTGTCTATATCTGATGGTGCATTTTTAGGTGGGACCAATCCTACTAAACGATGTCCTCTTGACTTGAAGCTCTGAAAAACAAAAAGTAATAAGGTGTAAGACATTTTATCTACTGATCCCTAAAAATATATTTTCGAGATACAACAGTGCTTACGTGTCTAATAACACGGCAATGGGAAGAATACTAGACATACGATTTTGTATTTCGTTTTCTACTAATTTGACGAAGGGAAGAATACTGGACATACGATTTTGCAGTTACTTTACTAGTACTTCGATGACGGGAAGTATACTAGACATACAAGTTGTTGGCGTTGTAAAAACTAAATAAAACTAAGTAACATAATCAAAATATTATGAGTAGATTCCAATATATGTTATCTTTAGTTTTCAATGATATTATAAGAAAATAAACCGTTAAAAAATAAATACAACGTAACTTACCGAAAGCCCGCGCAGGAGTGCGATTCACTAAGGCAAAACATCTTTACAACCGAGAAATCATCGTTGAAACATCTGATGAAAACTTATCGGTATTCTTTAGTTAACACTGCGCGGTCGTAGCGCCACAACGATGTCGACGGCGCGACATAGAACTAAAATATGGTTCCGAATGTATGAAAAACGGTATTCAGAAACACAAAACATCCTCGCCTTCAACGACAACGGCGCCTTCGCCTTAGATTTTACCTGTCAAAGCGTAAAGCTTGTAAATTGTAGATGTTTCCTTGGTTGTAGACAATTAAAACGTAAGTAAAATAAGTTATTTTTTTAAATAATAAATGCTTAGTATTGTTTTGTTTACCGTACGTAATTTTGGAAAACTTTAATGCCTATTATTAATGTTTTAGATGGAAGTTCGTCTTTCCTGTATGATTTTTTTGTTGGAAGAAGCTAAGCGTCGAGATAATGTAGAAAAAAGACGTCAGGCACATGTGATACGTAACACGGATCTTCTTACTACTGATACAGAATTTATTGAGGTATTCAGGTTGACTGAAGAGTCAATTAAACAATTGGAAGAAGATATTTCACCATTTTTAGCAAAGACGAAACGACAAGGAGGAATTTGCAACCGAATTAAGATACAACTAAATTAATTAAATTTA